TGTACAACAACAAGAATAACAAGGAGGAGGAAAAAAGTTGCAGTCTAAATTGCATGCAGCTCAGCAATTCTAGTAGTAGTAACCACCGAGACATGGGAGGAAAATCAAAAATGGTCATAATACTACTAGTAGTAGTGGTAGACACAAAAAAGTTGTTGTTTCTTTTTTTGGGGGGGTGGGCATAGTAGTAGGAATCTACTAGCTACTAGTAGTTCAGTCATTGAATTAATGTTGTTGTTGGTTGTGTTGTGAGGACTAGTAGTTTTGAACTTGATGTTTTTGATGAGGGGCATGTTGGAGGTGTTAACTGGCTGCCTTGAGTTTGACATTGTTGTTAACAATTGGTTTGTAGATGTGTTGAATGACTGTTTTTAGTCACATAAGCTGGAGCCATCTGTATCAAAAATGATGTCAAGATTAAAGAAGAGGCCATAAGCAGAGTTCACATTGTTTGTCAAGTTCTTATGGAGCTGGCAATCCATAAAGGTGATGTTAACAAAGGTGATCCTGGGGTAGAAGGGGCAGCTTTGTTGGCCACCAGTAGTATTGGAAGTAAGAGCCATCATGTTGGGCAGAGAAGAAGGAGGTAAGCAAGAGCAAAATTACATGAGCAAAGGAAAGGATATTTGATTCAGATCAAATATATTTTATGAGGGGAAGAGGAACAAAGTGTTGTGGGCAGTTTTCAGTAAAATGTTCTTCTTTTAAAAGTAAAAGTAGTATGCATGTGTGTGGGAGTTTATCCTGTGGGATTATATATATATATATATATATATATATATATTCATGTGGGAGTACTGATGCAGTTGGACAACCACCAAATGTGTCTTCAAAAATGTCTTGATGAATTGTTGTGGTTGCATTGAGTGTTACTCAAGAAAAGGAAGTGATCATGAGAGATCATGAATGTTTGTGGTGTATAGAGAAGATGGTGACTAGATGACTGTATATTTGGGGGCTGGTGATGTAATATTGTAGGTATGTGGGCACTTGTATGAGGCAGTAGAGTTGTATTGGTCTCTAAGGAGAGAGCATACCTACTAAAAAATTACCATGGTGAGGGTAATTTTGTTGGAAGGAGGAGGGTGTCATAGTAGCCTGTGGATGTGGTGACCATCTAATAGTAGTGAGGATTTAAATCAAATGCTACTAGAAGAAAAGTAAGTCAATGCTCCTATTGACAATTAACGACACACTATAGTCTAAAATYGATCAAAGTGAAAATTGAGTGATGTGTGTGAATCAAATGAGTCAAGTTGATCACGAGGATCAATAAGATTGTGTGGGTTGTGTCTAGTGTAGAAGTATATGTGTGTGTATCATAGGTATGAGTCATATGTGCAATATTGTATCCTACTGACAGTATTCCTACCTTTTATACTGCAAAATACTGGTCTGGAGCCCAAATTTATAGTTCAGGATTGAGTCCTTGGCAGCAGAACTAATCTATTAAYAATAATATTCATACAACTTGTGACCACTTTATTGTTTGAATGAGCTAGGCTGTGGACATCTTGCAGGCTGCAGCAAAAGATCCAGTAAGAAGCAGTAAGTAACCTAATGTGTGTGACTTAGTAGAAGGAAGAAGAATACTGTGCATGCTGTACAGCAGTATTTAGTGTATCCTCGGCAGAGAGCAGCAGGGGTTGTAAATTTAGTTTGGGGAACCATCTTCCATCTGTGGCAGGAGGAATAAGAAAATTTAGTAACATAAGGAATTTTTAAAATTTCAATTTTACTACATAACACTACTAGTACTAGTAAAACTACTAGTATCCAACTTSTGAGTAGTCAAGCTTCTTGTYGCTTGCCCTCGTCCTCCCTTTCTCTAAGAGCAAAGAAGAACAAGAAGAAGAAAATTCTGTTGTGAGGACATGACAATTGCTGTTGTTGAGTACTAGTAGTATTATGCTGGTGGTGGTGGTGGTGCTACTCCTAGTAGTACTCCTACTCCTACTCCTACTCCTACTCCTACAAGAATTACTAGTCATTTCTGCTTGTTGACTACTACTATAATTGCTTGTTTTTGTCATTTACTGCTCATAATCCCTTTCATAAATCCATTTCATTGGAAAAGTAGTAGTAGTAGTAGTAGTAGTAGTAGTAGTAGTAGTAGTAGTAGTAGTAGTGTTGCATTATTTAGAATTGAGGTCACACTGGAGCGTTGCTAAGAATCTATCGATCATATGATCATACATATGGTATGGCAAAAAATCTGAATTGATTGACAATCAGTCAGAAATCACAGTGAATTCTCACATAAACAACACGAAGTGATGAAATCTGGCTTGATCAAAGCACAATTTTGATGCTTTCTCCAACATTTCTGAGCACAAAAAGCAAGCTGGTGGAAACCACACTCAAAACACCCACAAAAAACTAGACAAGATGGAATCTACWCCTGGACACCAGAATGAGAGATCCAATCAAGGGGCTGATTGAATTTCAATCTGGCATCGCAAGTGCCCCTCAAGCATCTGCTAGCACCTCTTGCCAAAGCAAATCCAATTCTGGATCTGACAAGGCCACATGCTTGAGAGTAGTTCCGTTGCCATTTGGAAGCAAGCCTGGAGGCAAGCTGCTTGCAAGCTGCAACTGCTTCTGGGCCCTCTGTGCCATCAATGGAGTACTAAACAAGAGGTGTGAAGTGCTGGTGAGCTTGGTGACAATGGTCCTCATACTTGTCCTTCTTCTCTTGTTCCTTGTTCTGGAGAACACACAGTGGAGCCTTCTTTGCATACTAGGAGGATGAATCAGTATCTGTGATCCTGATGTCAAACATTGCGGTGGTTCCTCGCTTCCAAAATCCATGCATAGAGAGATTGCCTCTGAGCTCTTGTGGTGGTGGCAGGGTGGGTGTTGCATTGGCAATGATTGCAAGCTGGTGGTGGCTGATAGATGGGTATTCGTGGTTCATCAGTCACACTTATCGGGGTCAACAAGGCCTCAGCACAGCAGAACTGGTGCCATTCACCTGGTATGTTGTTGTGGCAGTGGAGGACGAGCCCTCACTTTTGGCAGGACATGGCGTGTTTGACCTTGAAGCTGGCACTGCATCTGTCACACCGCTTGGGGAGATGTAGAGGACAGAGGCCAAATCACACCAGTTGTAGGAGGACGTTGTCTCAAAATTCTTCGGCTGACAGAACAGTCCCATTGAGGATATGGGGTGTGGTGCTGCTGGCAGTCAGCCAGGCGCCAGTGGCCTCTCCCCGTCGGATTCTGCGGCTGAAGTTTGGTGACCGAGTCACCAGCATGGCATTGAGGCTAGATTGGAGGGACTATAATCGCTGCTTGTGGCGTTCTCCCAGGTGACGAGTAGTAGTGATGTCCATGATTTGTTACTGTACTTACAAGGCATATGTAATATGGAGGGACGTACGATATCTGTGCCCCTTCTGCTTCCATACGGTAGGGTAATCGAACATACGGCACGACTATGAAGAAAAAAATATGTCCGTTGAGATGTTGGGAGTAGGAGTACTAAATCCCTCGTCATTCGTTTCTCGCGGCGGTTACGAGTCTTCATTTACATCGAATGAACTTTTACGAACACACGATTCAGAAGAAACTGGTCCAGATATAAGGCAGAATGACAGTCCTCATACGGAGAAGCTTGGCGTGGCCGCTTCTGCTATTGCTGCTACTAGTGGGGCCAGCAGAACCAAAGTCGATCAACAACGAGGACGACGGCGACGGCGTCTGCGAATGGGACGACCAGCAAAAATGCCAGGAAGAAGCCACGCGGAAGAGAAAAAATTCGTCTCTTCCCGATGCAGAGGGAGGCGCGGATTACGTGGACGACGAATACGATGGTGAATACGATGACGATGACGATGGTGAGGAGGAGGAGGAGGAGGACGACGAGAACGATGAAGAGGCAGTCGATGGTGAGGAGGAGGACGACGACGATGAAGAGGTAGTCGATGGCGAAAGCGAGCACGAGCACGACGATTTCGGTGACAATGACGACAACGACGACTCGCTCCCCSATGAGTATAGGGTATACCCAGAAGAAGGTGAAGAGTGGGACGTATGGAAGCATGGCGGAAAGGGCGATTTGTACCAGGCGCTCGACTGTCCGGACTACGGCTACGGTGAGTCCACGTTCGACGACACGTCCTTCGAAAATATTCACACGGTCGAAACCTGGTCCACCTTCAACCGAATCTACAACGAGGTTATTGCCGCCACGAAGGGCGATCCGGAACTGGAACAAGAATCGACCATTCCACCTGTCTTTGAAAAAAACGGCTTCCAGTTCCCGATCGAAATCAAGTTCGATTCCGTGGTCGGGCGCGGCGTCTATGCCCTCACGGACATTCCCAAGGGGAGTCTCTTGTATATCTCCACAAACAACGCCGCCTTTTTGAACGGGCAGACCTACCGCAATTTTTTGAAGGCACTTCCGTCCAAGCTCGGTTGCGACGTGTCCATCTGGGCCTTCGTGAGATGGGTCTCTCTGGAATCCGACGAGACCGACGAGCACATGGTCTGCGTCGACCTCGACGAGGGATCCTTTGTCAATTCGGCCGACAGCGATGAAGCCTACAACATGGCACTGGGCAACGACGAGGGCACCCTCTACACCGAAGGAACCTATGAAGAGCAAATAATGCTTTGGTCCGGATGCAAAATGAAGTTCTGGGCGTCTCGCGACATCAAAAAGGGAGAAGAAATCCGGGCCGACTACGRCGATTTTGTCGAARWGGATGGCTGGAAGTATTTGAGTTTATAGATCACCAGTCAAACCCAACTCACACAATCCAATTATYAGATAATTGGAAGAATCGATGGGCTCGCGAAAGATCGGATCGAGTGCTGTGGAAACAAACTGGTATTTCTAGAACGCAATGGAGACTCTAGTTGAATGTATAGTAACCATTGAGGAAGAAACTTTCCTACTATTCAATGCGTAGGAGTAGACCTATAACTAGAGCAATTCAATACACGTGTGTGTTTAAGAATAATGCATCAAATTGAATACCTGTATGGAGTAACATTGAAACATTTCTCTATTTTAAACTMGAATGCCAGGGCAAGACAGGTGGGCGCTCCACAATCTACAGTTTAGTCCTTCCGGGAGACCTTCTCTAGAAACGAYTGCCGACCATTGCATTCTTCGGACTATGAAATATCCTACTCGATATGCCTCATAATGCGTTGGATGTTGTCGATTGTTTGTTTCTTTSTTTGTTCTTCTATTGTTTTCTGCGACGAGGTTGTTGGCACGGTTGCACAGAAATTCAAATTACARTTCCGCCTTGGGCCAATCTTTGAAACGATACCTGTGGTTGCAATAGCCCGACGGATTCTTTTCCAGATATTCTTGGTGCTCGGCATGCGCCTCGTAAAAGGTCGTATAATCGACAATGGCCGTTTCTATCTTCTTGCGTTGGTACGTTTTGATGGTTCGGTTATCGACGTGCGACTGGAGTTCTCGCTTCACTCGCTCTGCAATTTCCTTCTGGTCCTCGGAGGAGACAAAGACGACGCTCCCGTACTGCGTCCCACGGTCGTTCCCCTGCTGGTTCAGCGTGGTTGGATCGTGAAACATGTAAAAGAATTTCATCAGTTCCTCAAAGATCTCCGGTGTTGCCGAGGCGCTTTCGGACAATTCGATGTTCAGGACCTCCACRTGGCCCGTGGAGCCGGAGCAAACCTGTCGGTASGTGGGGTTTTTCWTCCCTTTTGGGTTGGGATTCATAAACCCAACCGAGGCATTGGCGATGCAGCCCGGGTGTCTCTTTTGAAAGTCCTTGACAATGTATTTCTCCGTTCCCCAGTAACAGCTGTGTTCGAAAGAAAGAATGATAGTTGGCGACGATGCAAAGGAAAAGATGCAAAACAAAGTCGCRGTGAGCTTCGCACAACGTCAAACAAGGTGGACGGATGTTGTCGTTAAAGAAAAGAGAGCRCAGCATGGACGAATTGACTTTAATCGACTTCGACAGGWCGATTCGGATTTACTCACCCTGCGCCGAGTGCCAGAGTGGATGCTATTGGGGCCATGTTTTTGTTATTCTCGCTGGTGATAATTTTTGGTTGTTGATTGGTTGTCGCTGTGTTGATTTTGCTGCAAGTAGATCCCATTCGTCGTTGTGCAACGATATTAATTWCGAAGTACGGTATGTGTTTTTGTGCTTGCTGATTTTTTTTGCTCAGTTAGTTTTGTTTTATGGGATTCTTCCGATTTTCATGAGTCTCGAGGGGTTGGAAACGGGGCGAGAGCGTGATTCATTTCTCTGCCTGRGMGTGATTGGGGAAGGGCTCTGTAKSGACTGAAGCTACCTGTGAACATTATTATGGCGGCACGCGTGAAAAAATGCAAGACTCGACGATTACAATTATCGCTCGAGCATTCGTAACACATTCACGATTCGTTGCTGGAGTTCCTGGAACGAWGTCGATCTCGATTTTCGTGGGAAAATATGAATTCCCAGGACACCCTMCTGGTACTAAAAAATGTGATCGGTTTTGATCACAAATTCTTGTGATAAAAAAATCCATTTTGTGATTGATTGATCACAAAAAATTATGATCAAGAAAGTCAGAAATGTTGTGATCAGATTTGATCACATTTTTCGTGATCAAA